AGCGCCTCCAGCTGGCGGGAACGACTGGCCGCGACAGGCCTGTGGAGACGTCACACAGGAGGGTAGCGCCCGCGTCACCGAACACCACGTCCTCCAAGCGCAGCCCCGCGCCCTCCACCTTCAGAGCCTGGACGCCGGGGTCTGTGACCTGGTCCGCCGCCATGCGGGTGTAGTCCAGGCCCAACTGGACGGCTCCGATGACGACTCTGGAGAGGCAATCTGCAACCAGGTTCGACTTGCCAGCCACGTGCTTAATGTCTGTGGTGAACTCAGAGATGTAGGAAAGCTGCCGCTGCTGAAGTGCCGACCAAGACTCCGTCACTTTAGACATGGCGAAAGTGAGTGGCTTGTGGTCGACAAACGCCGTAAACTCCCGGCCTTCCAGCATGAAACGGAAGTGCCGCACGGCCAAATAAAGACCCAGGAGCTCACGGTCAAAAGCGCTGTACCTGCGTTCTCTGGGCATCAGCTGGCGGCTGAAAAAGGCGAGCGGCTGCCAAGCGCCCTCCACCCACTGCTCGTGCACCGCGCCGACCGCGTAGTCCGACGCGTCCGTGGTGATGGAGATGGGAGCCGTAGATGATGGGTGTGCCAGCAAAGCCGCCTGAGCCAACGCGGTCTTGACCTCAGCAAAAGCGACGTCCGCCTCTGCCGTCCAGTCGATTGCCTGGACGGGGGTCTTGCCCTTCAATGCTTCATACAGCGGCCGCATGATGTGTGCGGCCCGGGCGATGAAACGGTGGTAGAAGGTCACCATCCCCAGAAACTCACGGAGCGACCGGGCTGTGAGCGGGCGAGGAAAAGCCGCAACAGCCTCCACCTTCGCCGGCAGAGGTGCCGCACCACCCTTGGTGACGCGGTGCCCCAGAAAATCAATGTCAGACACCCCGAACTGGCACTTTGCAGGATTGATGATTAATCTGTGTTCGTTGAGCCGCGTGAAAAGGGCTCGGAGGTGGGACAGGTGCTCCTGTACTGAAGCGCTGGCGACGAGTATGTCGTCGAGGTAGACAAACACAAACGGCAGGTCCCGCAGCACCGAATCCATCAGGCGCTGGAACGTCTGAGCAGCATTCTTGAGTCCAAAAGGCATCCGCAGGAACTCAAAAAGTCCAAAAGGCGTTATCACTGCTGTCTTGGGAATGTCCAGAGGGTGAATGGGCACCTGGTGGTATCCACGCACCAGGTCCACCTTGGAAAACACCCCCGTACCGGCCAGATGCGCCGAAAAGTCCTGAATGTGCGGCACCGTATAGCAGTCAGGCGTAGTGGCGTCGTTGAGTCGGCGGTAATCCCCGCACGGGCGGAACCCGCCGTTCGGTTTGGGGACGACGTGCAGAGGAGAAGCCCAAGGACTGTCGGAGCGGCGGACAATGCCCAGGCGCTCCATGGTTGCGAACTCCGCCCTCGCTACAGCCAGCTTAGAAGGGTTCAACCGCCGGGCCCTGGCGTAGACAGGAGGCCCCTCGGTAGTGACGTGGTGCTCCACGCCATGCTTAGTGGTAAGCGCAGAGAAGGTGGGCAGCGACAGGTCTGGAAACTCGGCCAACAGTCTGAGAAACGTGTCTGCCCCCGACAGCGAGCCCGACAGCCCCGTCGTACGCTGCGCTGCCAAGTGTGCACACGAGGGAAGAAAACGTTAAGGCATCAACCAAACGCCTATTCTTAACGTCCACTAAGAGTCCATGAGCACACAAAAAATCCGCTCCGAGGAGGAGAAAAGAAATGTCCGCTGTCACAAAATCCCAGCTGAAACGCTGTCCTCCGAAGCACAAACACATAGGCCTCACGCCGTACGTGCGAATGGGACCACCGTTAGCCGTCGTCAATCGCGGGTGCCCACCCCGGGTGACGTCTTCACTCGACGCTGGAACTACGCTCCGTTGAGCGCCCGTGTCACACAGAAACAGGCTCCCCGAAACGCTGTCGCTGACGAAGAGGAGCCTGCACGTGCCGCCGACGCTCAGGGCCACTACTGAGCGCCGGCCCCTCCGTTTCCCGGGGGTTTGTAGCTGCACGGGGCGATGCATTTCTTCGCCATTGTCCCGAAACGTGCGTGGTAAAAGCACTCTCCGGTGTTTCCACGCCGGCTCGATACAGCCGTGTCCTGCCTCCGCCAAGCTTTCTTGACTGCAGATGGGCCGCTGAGCGTCGCGGCTAACGTCTCTGCACCGGGCTGTTGTATAGCCAGGAAAAAACGATCTGCTTCCTCAGCCAAGGCACGGGGCTCCGTGACAAGCGTGTTGGCCAGCGCCGTCTGGACCCGGGGAGGCAAGTGACGCAGGAAAATCTCCGTGAATAATATACGGGGATCTTCCCCCCTTAGCAGATTTAGCATTTTCTCCATTAGCTGGGAAGGCTTGCTGTCTCCTAGGCCTTGAATGTCAAGTATCTGGCGGGCCCTCTCCTTAGCAGATAAGCTAAATGTCTTAAGGAGAAGGGCCTTAATCGCCTCATATTTGCCATGGTGTGGGGGGTCTGTGATAAATCCCACCAACCTGGACGACGTGGAGCTCCCCAGCGCTGCTACCACATGGTAGTATTTCAGGTCCCCGTCACGGACCTGTCGGCAGGCGAAATGTGCCTCCACGTGTGCGAACCATGCCTCCGCGGCGTGCTCCCAGAATTCCGGCAGCTTTATGAAAACATCGCGCTCAGCCATGTTCGTTAATTTTCCGGAAACTTTCTCGGAAAAGTCAGGGTCACCAGTGTAGTGCCGTGAAAAGAGAGTCGGAGGCGGTGTATTAAGAATGGAGTTCCAATCTTTAATACCCATTAATAACAGAGAGGTTAACACATGCACTGCTCTGCCTGATGAGCTAGCAGGAATGGCAGCTAAAGCTACAGGTGTTCCCCACTAAAGGGTCCGTGTGGCAACACAATAAGCAAGGTGAATTATATCCAATAACGTGTCACCACAGTGTGTGTATTCTCAAATGTCGTTTTCAGGACAAACAAAAGACGTTTTAAATATCTTATCAGCTGGTGTAAGTGCATAATATTGAATATAACCTTGACTATTACTGTGTACTTCATTTATCTGACAGCATTATTTAATGATACTATTTTATATATATATATATTTATTTAATGATACTATTTTATATATATATATATATACACATTTATTCATTTATAAACATATATAAACACACACTTTCATGTACTCACACATGTATTTATTCATTTATACACACAGATGTATTCATTCATTTATACACACACAGCATTATTTAATGATACTGTTTTATATATATATATTAGGGGTGTAACGGTACACGTACCCGTACCGAAATTATTCGGTACGGGCCCTTCGGTTCGGTACAGGTGTGTACCGAAGTGTACCGAACGAATATAACATTGAACGTAAAAAATTGAGAACGTGAACAACTTCTTGGAAGTAATCTCAGGTGCTGCGTCGCAGCATTCAGAGTAATTTGCTCACATTGGTTCAACGCGTCATAGAGCGAGCAAGTCATTTCATTGGATGAGAGGCATACTATAAGAGCTGGTCAGAGGGATGCGTTCAAATGTAGTCAGTAATTTGAGGAACTGTCGAAAATTAATGGCGAACGCAGATAAGTTGAGCTCGAAAATCCTCCAGCATCATTGAAGTCTCCGGTTTGGGAACATTTTGGTTTCGCAGTTACGTACAAGGATGACGGACAAAGACAGGTGGACCGAACCAAAGCTGTTTGTCGGCATTGTTCAACTAAAATTGGTTACGCGGCTGGCAATACATCAAACTTGCACACTCTTGAAAAGGCATCACCCGAACGTGAATATCACCGGTACCAAAAGAAAAAAGACTGAAGTGCAAACCCAACTCCCACTAGCATTTAAGCCTCCAACACTCGCAGAGAGTTCAGACCGAGCCAAAGCTATTACAAACACCAAATATCCTTATGTTGCCATGTTAGCAAAGCGCTACCTGGCTGTATCTGCTACCTCTGTCCCTAGAGAGAGGGTGTTCTCCACAGCAGGAGACATTGTTAGTGCCAGCAGATCTGCCCTTTCAGCAAGCAATGTGGACAAGTTCATTTTTCTTTAAACAACAAAATACAATGACAAGCAAGTCCTAATGTCAAACTGGCTGCTTAGGTGCTAGTACAGTAGGCTACAGTTCAAATACAGATTATTTCAGTTCATCGAAATGCTGCACCTTAATGTTCATTTTATTATATTTTGTATTTATTTGAGTGAATATTCACAGTTTAATAATAATTAAAAACCCAAAACTAATAGTTTATGTTTTGTGAGTACTAGTACAGTAAAGTTCAAATACAGATTATTTCAGTTCATCGAAATGCTGCACCTTAATGTTTATTTTATTATATGTTGTATTTATTTGAGTGAATACATTATTCACAGTTAATAATAATAAATATATATATATATGTTTTTGTTTTGTGAAAAAAAATTATGCTGTACCGAAAACGTACCGAACCGAACCGTGACCAAAAAACCGAGGTACGTACCGAACCGAAATGTTTGTGAACCGTTACACCCCTAATATATATATATATATATATATATATATACACACATTTATTCATTTATAAACATATAAACACACACTTATATGTACTCACACATGTATTTATTCATTTATACACACACACTCACATATATACACTTTATATTAATTCATTTGTACACACACACATATATAAACAAAACAACACAATATAATAAAAACAGTTGCAATAATAACATAATATGGTATGATCAATTCAACCCTTTTGTTTTTGCTCCCATATTTCAATTAAAATATATATTTCAAAATCAATATTGGTGGGGGCTCTTTTGCAAAGATAATCAATAACACCACCTGACAGTTGTTGCAGATTATACAGCATACTTGTTACTTACACACATGTGCGATGGTCCCAAAAAACCAAATCCGCACTGTAAAAAAATATATACATTTATTAGGCACTCTGAATAAGGGTTGACTGTGTAATAATCATGCCTTTTAATTGGTGTATATGTCTCACCAGGTGAAGGCTGGGACAGTGGGAGGGGTGAGGTAGGAACAGGGGACTGCTGAATGCTGAAGTCCCAGGATACAATCCCAAGTTGACTGCATAATCCACTTACCTGTTTGCATCAACTGCAGGAGGTCAAGCAGGGGTCATCTGATGTCCTTTAGGTTGGATCAACACCAGCCTCTGGAAAGATTTCATGACTGCAGAGCGCAGTGGACCTTTAGTCATGTAATACTGTGATGTAGGGTAATGCATTTGTATTAACAGGGAGGTTATATTTCAGCATTTGAGATACACCTTGAGGCCTGATTTGGTAAAAAGCCCACTTACCACGACAAGGTACAGGCCATAAATGGGATAAGATATGACAAAGACATAAGGTGAAAAACAAATGAGAAAGAAAGGCATACACATTACACATATACAAACAGGTACATAAAGGGTGTAGAGGGGCACCGAATACCAGTGTCCTGCCTCTAAACAAAAAGATTGTGGTTGTGCCTGTTTATTAGAATAATCTTAAATGGTAGGTCAGGCATGTGTGGGTCTTCGGTCCTATAACATAAATCAATATATATATATATATCAATATTATGTAAAAAAAGCTAAACGTGAAATAATAAGTATGTGGATCAGTAAACTCACTTCATTTCCCCACGAGTACTCTTGAGTGTCGTGTGCATTTTTGCTTGACAGCAGGTGTTCTTGCTGCTTTTGGCTGCTCTCGGGTTCACCCTATGCTGACACTTATAACTTGCCTGAACAAAATAAAGCAGATTTATTATAGTACAGGTCAAAGTAAAAAGGATCATTAAAAGGTAACTTCAAGAAATATCAACAAGACAACACTTACTTTGAAAAGCACCCGCTTCCCCAACCTGGGTCGGGTAACATCCACCCTCCATGTCACCCCTGATGACCCCTTCAGCTTTTGTACCCACTCCTTGACCTGTTCCACAGTGTGGACATCCAGCCTCAAAATGGCCTCAAAACCAGTGTGGTCCCCCAGTGAAACCACCTCTTCATACGTGGTATCTGAACTCACCTGGTAGCCAACCCTACAAGGAAACAGACAACTATTAATTAAAATCCACACACATAATACTGTGTCAGCTCAGAATACCAGTAAGAGTTGTGCCATGATCTGAAGAACTAAAGAGGACCATGAGGTTTAAAATGTACTGACTTTACTTAGAACTAGAGTATAATACACATTATACTGGCAGGCTTGAAAAGTCTGAAAAATAAAAATCCAACCCTCAAAATCCTAAAACATTGGTATAGTTATGCTAAAATGTTTATATTCTCTTTAAATGTACTTCATGTGCTTGCATGTTATTCTTTAATGCCTTGTCTTTTATCTGGACAATAAGTCTGTTATTAAGTGGTATAGTTTAGATGATGATGATGATGATGATGATGATGATGATGATGATGTGTAATCAAATCAAGTTTTATTTAGCACATTTATAAATTATCTTTGGTCGAGCCAAAGTGCTGTACATATAATAAAAATTAAGACACTTTACAGCATGGGTCGGCAACAGGCGGCCCGCGGGCCATTGTTGGCCCGCCAGCAATAATATTTGGCCCGTAATTTTGAGAATCACTAATAAAATATTATTTTGAGATTTTTTTTTTTTTTTTTTTTTACAACATAAAAGCCAGCCGATATTCACTCTTAATAGTTTGATCGGTGCTCTCTATAAAGGCCGATCAGGAGAGCTGGATCTGATCGATATGGACATAAACGCGAGTGAAGTGTACACGAGAGAGAGATCAGATCAGCTGCTGACAGAGACATGCAGCTCTGCATAATCACCTGAAGCCCCGCCCACTGTTTAGCGAGCTGCTTGAGAAACTGACGGGCTGTCAGGAGAGAGGGAGGGAGAGGGGAAAAGAGAGGATCCGTTTCTCCCCTGTTATTATTCAAAGTTAATGTAAACTTTTGAATAATGTACTTCATCTACTACAAGTAGTTTGTTTGAATGTAATAATTATGTTGTTTGTTGAATCATTTATTGAAAAATGAATCTGAACTTTTCGATCTGTAACGATTATAAACTGAAGCAATATAAAAATGAGCCCCATTAACTGAGTTTTAAACATCAGCATATCCGGTCATAGTCCGGTGATTACCTGCTAACGGAAACTTTGCTTCACCATTCTTATTATTATTATTGAAACATGACCGGTCATTTTCAAATTTGTCCGGTAAAATAAATTCTGTCCCGACATATCCGCTTACATTCATAATGTCAGCGGAGGGAGGGGAAGCGGCGCTGTGGAAGAGCAGAGTGGCTAGTGAGAGCTGTCATCTTCCCTTTACAAGCTTCAAACATGTATTTATCGTGTGATTTTGGAAATAAAAATGTCATATTCTGAAAGCCAAGACTTTGTTTATTTAAAATCAAACAAAACACCCGAACCCCGAAAAAACTAGTTTTTTACGCAAATCCACGTTTATTTTGAAATGAGCCGTTGCGACTTTCGACTGATTTCGATAGAGCGGGTCACATATGGCAAATTGGGGGGAACCAGGTCAATTAAAGTACTTATTTAACTATTAAATACATTGAGTTTGAGTAAAATACTTGGTTACTGATTAATTTAGGTTATAATATATTAAATTGCAAAGCAAAATGCTGTAATTGATTTATTTTGTCCTTTGGTATTTTTTAAAGGTTTTCAACCTGAAAGAATCCTAATGTGTCTTTGAAAAGTTGAAATAAAGAAAAGGAAAAAGGATTCCAGTTGTCCCTCAAGCCTCTCAAATGTGCAAACACTCAAATAAATGCCAAAAACCCAGAGAACTTGACAATACTTATCAGAATAAAATGTTAAATAACACTGCTACCTATAACTCTACTTTACTCAGTGGAGGCTCGTCCATTGAGGAAAGGGAGGACCATCCTCCCTAAAATTTCAGAGAAAAATAAACTTTGAAGAGAACAATAAATACACCTCAATTTAAAAGATAAGTCTGTTAAAATACAGATAATAGCCCTGGCTTTGGGACTGAAATGGGGCTAGAGAGGACGAGCCTCCCTTTGGGCGGGTCTATAGCCAGATGCTCTGGATTGGGCGCCTATATCATCAGTGAACCAATCAGCGGATCTGACTGCGCATCAGAGTGTTGATGGGGAGGGTTATCAGCGATAGAGTTTTTTCTGAACCGGGGAACAGGGGCGCTGCGCCCTCTTACCAAAATCAATTCCTTGAATAGGCTTTGATTATGTTCTGGCCCGCCATCTTGCGGCTCAGCAAAAAATTGGCCCACGGCCAAACTTACTTGCCTACCTCTACTTTACAGCAAATACAACAGCACAGATTGTTCAGAATATCAGTATGGGAAAAAACGACACCCTCTATCTATGTGTAGGTGAGGCATTGATATGAGCAAACACATCCAATGTAATTTGATGTTCATCATAATATTGAGAGATAGGTCTTATCAGATACCTTCAACTGTGGGTACTCCATATTGTTCTGTGTGCCTCCAGAGCACACTAAAACACGAGGTCTGAAATGAAAGCAAAAAAAAGAGCCTATTTATTTAGGTGCTATTCTGATGCTAATACTTTAGTACTTATACTTGAGTATTTCTACACTCTGGTACTTGTACCTTTACTCAAGTACAAGATCGTATCACTTCTTACACCTCTGGAAAGCACTTTTATGTAAAGGAATACATTTTTATAAATGTCCCAACATTTCATTTTTACATGGCAAAACGTTAATATGTTATTAATGTCAAATGTTATATGTTGTATTATATAACAAAATAGACATTTATAACATATTATAAATGTCTATCTTTAAATAAAATATTAAATAGATACCTTTACATCCTAAACAGAAGGTCAAAACGTAAATATATTACATGACAAACAAAAAAACGAAACATTATATAGGCTATATAACAAAATAGACATTTATAACATATTATAAATGTCTATCTTTAAATAAAATATTAAATAGATACCTTTACATCCTAAACAGAAGGTCAAAACGTTAATATGTTACATGACAAACAACAAAACGAAACATTATATAGGCTATATATACAGATATTTGCTAATGTATCCCTCTTATATCCATCAGGAATTAATATTAAATGATGAATTAACATTACCTCAGCACTGCATAAGTGTGGTCGTCAGTCATATTGACAAAGAAGCACTATTATATTGTATATTATGCGGCGTTTAAAAGGACGGTATTTCGATTGTCAGATTCAGATTTCGCGGGTGTGCTGCGTGAGGCACTGATGTAACCATAGGGATGTAACGCCAGGTTGATGCTGTGACGTAACGCTGCGTCGATGCTTGCGTAATGCGGAAGTGGGATCTAAACTGGGTTGGAAAAATGATAGTCGCGGCCCGGCCCCCCCACTGACACTTACCTCAGCCACAACGTAGTCTCTATATGCATTACATTAATGCACACAATGTTCATACTGCTTACTGCACACATTTCTTGTTTCATATTTTATATTTTATATCCTATACTTCATTCATAGCATTCTATTTCCATGTAAATTACTGCTTTATTTGATTGCTATTTAACTATATTTTATTACGGTGTCCTTAAAGATTTTTTGTTTTATATTAGATTTCTTGTTTTATATTTTATGTATGCACCATGACATCAAGTCAAATTCCTCGTATGTGTGAACCTACCTGGCAATAAACCTGTTTCTAAATTTGCATCAATTTGAATGACTCGGTTCAAAACCTATAAGTTAAGATAATAACTAGCACTTGCATTTGCTATTAGTTGGTCATATTGATTTTATTTATATTTCAGAATGAGATTTGTTGATGGGAGCCTATTATTTGCATTGCCTAAAACGGCTTTTTTGTATTTCTGCATATGTTAATGATAACAACTTGAAACGTGTACACACATATACTCTATTAGTCCATTGTATGAAACGATACTTTATTACTACTTTACTACAGGGTGAACAGCTACGTTTTTAAACATTTGTATATATTTGGGTATTTTTCGTATTAACAGACATGCTGAATCATTGGCCTACATACAATGATATGATGTGTTATGATATGATTATTTGTATTCGTCATTTGTAAATACAAACGTTTTGCTTAACTCTTTCCCTCTCCGTTGCATTGATAAGGCTCGACTAGGCTGGAGTTTCTTTGTTTTTGTTTTTTTTCCGACGAAGGATGGGGGGTCAGAGGGCCTTGTATAAAAGTCACTGCTCGCCACTGCTCAAAGCATTTTTACCGCTGCGTGGATCACATGACATGGGCGGAAACTGACTCATATGTGCACGCTGAATCTCCCGCGAACGCAGTCATTTACCTCCTTTCTCTCTAGGCAGTGATACCGGTGAGTCTCTACAATCTTCTCTCTTTGCGGGCCATCCCATATTTCAAGTATGTGTTTTTGGGAAAGTAAGTTAAAGCAACGGGGAACGTTATGATGTGATTTGGGCTCATTTGGCGTGTCGAGTATGAACCTGCGAGGCTTGAGTAACTACATAAGGCCCTTTGATTTCGCGTGCTAACTTAGCCGTTAGCTCTGTGAAAAGAATGGCTTCCATGCTGTGCTAGCTTACAGGCTAGCAAGCACCGCTCTGAGCTCCCTCATCTCACTGCTTTGTTTTTGAGAGCCACTTTAATTAGTCATATAACGTGTGGTCAGCATTATTCATTACATAACACACACTAAAGAAGTCTGTTTTATCTGTGTTTTTTTTATTTAAGTTGCCCATCAGAAAACATTAGCTGGTCTTGCCGTCTGATTGTTCCAGTCGAACAAGAAAAAGTGCGGTCGTATCCGTATGGCGCACTCTAACTAACGTCATTGGCTTGTTAGCTCGCAAGCTAGCAACCGCCTGCGCTGAAATACGGGTGGGAGAAGCCTGCATATCATGTTTTACATCTAAAGTCAGTATGCTATGATACATGTATTCGTTTCAAGTGCAGTAAAATGTGAGCCTATTCAGACGTTGCGTGTTAACGGTTTGGAACCTTAGCCTGGATCGAAAATGCTAGAATAGGGTGTCGCTTGGTTACAGGCGGTATAGTATTCACGTTTTTAAACTGCGTCAAAATAGCGTTTTAACAAACCGCAAATGTATCCCCCTAATTTAACCTGAAAACGGCTACCACTGCTAGTTTTACGTAACTGATTACTATCTAACAAAGTGCAACGTTAGCAGAGAGTACAACAACGTGCTAACCATCCCGCCTTGTCTTGTTTAACTTAGATCCATCGCAACCATGGCGGACTCAATGGCACAGTGTGTTCCAGTGGCCACGTTTAAGGTGAGTGCTCACTATATACCTTCTTATGTGTGCTAGTTTGTCTTCTAAGTGTGTAGACTATTGTACTGGTGATATTGGGCCAGCTGTGCTAACTTCCAGTACAATCCAGTCCAAACGTAATGTACTCTGTTTCTTCAGCTCGTCCTGGTAGGAGATGGAGGCACAGGAAAAACGACTTTTGTGAAAAGGCACATCACAGGAGAGTTTGAGAAGAAATATGTTGGTGAGTACCTCCATGCTAAAATGTTAGGCACACATCAGTATGTTTACAGGTGAAGAGTTAAATATGTAGAACTAACTTTGAATCTCGAGTTTGCTGCCAACAAACAAAAACAAACTGCTTGTGCATCAATAAGCAGGGTCATACTAGTGGGCTTTGGGTTAAACCATGACCTTTAGGCCTCTATTGGGCCTATTCTTATATATTAGTAATAGTCACCACCATGTAAGTTACAATAAATTGCAGTACACAGAGGCCAAACTTGGTTTGAGTTCATCAAGTTTGTTGCATCATGTATCCACCAGGGAGCACTACAAAGTCAACTTTTCCATTCATAAATGTCCTGCTTAGTATGTTTCTTGGTCCTGCTTAGTATGTTTCTCTCCCAAATCTGGTTTGGGAAGGTTTTGCAGTACATTGTCCAATCTATATATTGTAGCAAATATTTTTGGAAGAAAATCTAATTTTAAGAAGGCAATCCAAAAATTCTAATTTCTGCAGATTATGATTTTTAAATCGGCAAGTGCCATCAAGAAATTGTCAACAGTTCTATCCTTTATGATATATGAATCCTCCAATTGCCTTAACACTTGCATTGCCTCCCCAATATAATAATAAAAACATGTTTTTGAGTGCATCCTTTTCAACTTTCCTATCCTAACGCATCTTGTCTTTGCTTGTTTTACAGCAACTCTGGGAGTAGAGGTTCACCCACTGATGTTCCACACCAACAGAGGACCCATCAAGTACAATGTGTGGGACACAGCTGGTCAGGAGAAGTTCGGAGGCCTGAGAGACGGCTATTACATTCAAGGTGCTTTTCAAAATCTTTAACTTGCTGTTCTGGTTATTATACCTACAACCGTCACTACTAAATCCCCATAGACTTGCCTTTAAACAGTTAAATTGAACAGTGTGTTAAAACTTCTCTGCTACCTCAACAGCTCAGTGTGCTATCATCATGTTTGACGTCACCTCTCGAGTCACCTATAAGAACGTGCCCAACTGGCATCGTGATCTGGTCCGTGTCTGTGAGAACATTCCCATCGTCCTTTGCGGCAACAAAGTTGACATCAAAGACAGGAAAGTCAAAGCCAAGAGCATTGTGTTTCATCGTAAGAAGAACCTGCAGGTAATAACTGAGCTCACAAAATGATCATCACTTGTGTTGGAATTGAAGAATGATTTGGTTTGAGTCTTTGGTGGAAACTATCATTTCTAATTGCCACAACTCTTCTGTCCCCAGTACTACGATATTTCAGCCAAGAGTAACTACAACTTCGAGAAACCTTTCCTGTGGTTAGCAAGGAAGTTGATCGGTGACCCCAACCTGGAGTTTGTGGCCATGCCCGCCCTCGCTCCCCCAGAGGTCCAAATGGACCCCAACCTTGCTGCGAAGTACGAAGAAGAGCTTCAAGTAAGTATAAATGTGCAGTGTCTGTTTAGATTGTCGACTGATATTGTAATCCAGCTACCTCTTAACACAAGAAAACTGAATTTTAAAAAAAACACTCTTAATTGCACCGTCAATCTAAAAGTCTATATGTCTTCTGTCCAGGTTGCATCACAAACAGCACTCCCAGACGAAGAAGATGACCTTTAACCTGTTACCTGCATTTTCCCTCTCTCACCCCCCAATGTGGACAGAAAGTTGTTGGAGTTTTGCCCCCTTAACTGTAAAATCCCTTTTCAGATTTTTTATTTTTGAATTTTTTTGTTTGTTTGAAAACTAAGAAAAGAAAAAACTTGATGGAAAAGTCGTGGTTCTAAATTCACTGTATGAGACACAACCACCCTAGTGTTGTTGGCATGGCAACGTGCTACTCTTCATCATCGAGCACCCTCCGCTGCACTGACCTGGCTCTCATAATGCTGTTGTAAGGTGTACTGGAAACACTTAGGGGAGTAAACTTTGAATAAAAACATTCTCAATATAACATGTTGGTTTATAATTTCTTTTCTTGGACAATAGTGACCCCAGAGTCAAAGGGGAACACGATAACATTTAATGTGTTATAGTAGAAAAAAGAGACAAACCAATTGTCAGAGCTAGTAAGCAATCGGTTAAAAGAAACTAGCCAGGAAGGTCCCATTTAGAGACGTGATTTCTTTTTTTAACCCTTTTTTTCAAGGAGGCCTGGCAATTATAATTAAGATTTTCATACCACGACATGTCTGAATATTTATGATGAAGGAACATGTTATTTAAAGCTACAGCTGAAATGCATACTTGGCACGACAGACAACAGCTATGGGTTTTGGTATATTTTGTAAGTAAAATATCAATTTAGCTTATCTTGCACTCTGGGCCGATTCTTGGCCCTACATAGCAATATGTTGGTTGACTTGTATAGTGCCTATCTCTGATAACAACTATTAACTCACTCATCGCAAAGCCTTGGCATTATAACCTTAGGGACAGGATGTAGTAATCCAGGTAGGCCTAAAGACCACTGTATGTAAGCATCAAATATAGCTGCTATGTGTAGTCTGCTGTGTCACTATTTTAGATGGAGATTTTGAAAGACGGTGTAGACACAAGTGGGGGTGTAGGACACAACGATGAGGCTTTTAATTAAAAATATTTCCAACGGTGTTTCGAATAATTTGACTTTCTATAACGTGTCCATGGCCACCAGGTGTCAGTCACCTTCTTTCATTCAGGGCACAGGCGAAGATCTCTACATGATTGAGACAGTCTACAGAGAGTTATTGTGCACGTTCATTGGGACTTGTGTCTTCTGTCTGGCTATTATTACCTGAACAGGGTTATAAAGCCTCTACATGATAGATCCTTGAGATTCCAGCGAATATTCCTCAAATGTAACCATTGTTGAGAGAGAATCAGAAGTCAGATGTAAATTATACCTTTTTCAGATTCAAAGGTTGTATTGTCATGCTCAAAGCTACAGTGTAGAAATGGCAATTAAAATCTTATGACCTGAGCTCCTCCAACATATAATGAAATACAAAATAAAGTAGTGTAACAAGTCTATATTGTGGAGAGCCCAGAGGTCTTGCCCAAGTAACATTTCATAACATTCATCTGCTACTTAGTAATTATTTATCTAATATATCATTCCAATAACTTGTATAGACTCGTATTGCACTATTCCACTTTTTTTTTCTCACTTTTTCTTTTTGTATTACTTTTAATATACTATATTTTAATATTGTCTGCTTATCTGTATTATTGTGTTGCATTGTTGGAGAAGCCTGTGACCTAAGATTTTCAACGACATAATTACTCTGTAGCTATGTTAGTTTGACAATAAAGAACCTTGAAGTATTAAAAAACGTAAATACATAAATTCCACAGATGTATCCATTGTTGACAGAACAATCATAGATGTAAATCTGTTTGCAGTGAGTACATAAATAAGTCAATACTTAACAAGACAAAGGGACAAATAAGAAAGACATTACAGGTCGTACCAGAACATACTTGGTTTATTGATTTAAAAAATGTAACATTTAAATCAGTGGATTAAATTAGTGGTTATTGTTTCCAGTATGAGGTGGTTTAAGAGAGGTGTAATTCCTACCACACCTGAATGCATCACTGCTGCAGGTGGCGCAGGGCGTGGCTTCATATCAGAGGACATGGACTTCTCTGCGCATGCGTCAACCAGAAAAGTGCGTTTCAGAATGATTAGTTGCCAGCGGAGAGGCAGATTATACGGCTCTACACAACTGTTGTTTTAATCCCCTGGGCGAGGAGATTTAGCTGAGGAAAAAAACACTGGTTTTAAACCCAGCAGCCATATTGTATGGAAAAACGACGGAAAGACTCTGAAAAAGTCATTTTTCCCAGACTCCTCTGTCAAGACTTCTTGGGAGTTTTAAGTGTTTTTCTTACTGGCGGTGGGTTTCTGTCGGACAGCTAGTTTGCCAGCTGGTTGAAGAATTCAGAGACTGGGACTAGTTTTTGAGCCATTTGACACATTACTGTGGTCCTCTCTGGTCTAAAGGTGTTAAATATACCGTCTAAAACATGAAGGACCGATTGGAGCAACTCAAAGCGGTAAGTAGTGTCCAGGAAATGTTAAGTGTCCTTTTCTCTTCAGTATACGCTCTGTACACTTGACTGCACCGGAAAAAGGCTTCTGAGAAAAATATGTAAATGTTAGGTTATAAAAGACGTTTTCTCCTCTTTCCATTTCTACTTTAACTTTTGATAATTGATACATTTGAACCAACTGTGTACCATGTGATGACAAAGCTATTATGAAGGAACACTGTTGGTTGAAAAAGCTATTTTAAAATAAGTGGAAGATATGTAAAACATATTGTCTTCTCTATATTCAGCCATGTTGTATGCTGTGCAGCTGAAGTATTTACTGCAATGTAGAGGAATTCATAGTGTAATTGTTATTAATTGAACTGCATCACCAGATGTCATTTAACAAGTTGTATAGCTCAATAGGTGAGCTTAATTCCCTTAATATGATGTTGTCCTTGACATTTAGATAATCAACACAGACTTGGGCAGAAGTAATCTTTCTGTTTTCATTGACTGTCGCCATTAAAGATGACATGTTTAGTGGATTATTCATGTGGTCAAAAATGCATCGACTAATTGGTAACCAATCAATAGTTCATGCAAAACGGTCAAAAATACTCTGGTCCCAGCAGGCTTTTATCTATGTAGCCTGAACGTTAAGTGGAAATCTTCTGGTTTAAGAAATGTTTGGGAGACAAATAAGCAATCTTGGATTTGGGATGGATCTCAAAATTGTTCTTGAAACTGTTGATTATTATACAGTGGATACATAGGCTAATCCACTCTACATTTGTTTGTTACTTGCAGTCATAGTTGCCATACATTCTAAAAACATGTTAAGCTGTAACAAATACATTATAGAAAAAAACCATGTCATGATTTTTCCTATCTGAAAATCACAATATAATCATCAGAATATGCCTACATTTGCATTTAAACAAACTGGAATCACTTTTTTAAAGAAACAAATATTTGTAATGCATCACAAATAGTACAAGTATCTATTTTTAACAAGGTCATTACACATTATAAGGTCCACCTGCATGCATAAAGTATAAAGAAATAAAAAATAGCAAGTGAGTCTTTTCAGTCTTGCATAATAATACCTGTATTTTACAGCTACGATAAAATCCTATATCTTCCCATCCCTAGTTGTAAAATGGATGAAGGATCAGTTGGGATGGATTTAACCAAAATCCTCTTTACCTTTTTTATATTTAGCTGTCACAGCCAGATTACAAACCTACACAGCAGTTAGTTGACATCCATCGTTGAGTTAATGACACTAAATACAGTTTCTGCTCATGGGAGTCGGGCCATGATCCAAATTGTAACCCTAGTCTGGATGTGTTGCCATAGCTACCTAAAACTGCTAGCCAAATATTTGCTGTGTTTAAAGCTGCGGCACGGAAAAGAAGAGCAACAAGAAAACGCTGCGTTGTAGTTTCACCTGGAGCTATGTTCACAGGTGATAGATCATACGGCACAGAGAGCTTGGAGTACCTTTGCTTGCTCAAGCTATAAAATAAATGGCAACAACATAAGTAAATACTTTAGCAATGTATATCAAATCAAATCAAGTTTTATTTTATAGCACATTTTTAAAACGATTTTTGGTCGAGCCAAAGTGTTGTACATGCAATAAAAACACTTTACAATAAAAACACTTTACAACAAATACAACAGAAAAAAAAAAAAAATCACAAGCAGGGAAATGTCAGGAGTCGTGCTCCGCTCAGACTAGAAGGCCAGAGAGAAGAAGTGTAGATTTAAAAACCCCTAGGTCTGGGCCGACCTCACATGGAGGGGCAGAGTGTTCTAGAGCCTAGGGTCAGCTGCTGCGAAGGCTCGGTGCCCTCGGGTTTTGAGCCTGGTCTTGGGCACTATCAGCAGCAGCTGGTCAGCCGACCTTAAGGCTCTGGCTGGGGTGTAGCGATGGAGGAGTTCGGCTATATAGGCCGGAGCCAGCCCATTTAGTGGTTTAAAAACAAATAAAAGGAGTTTAAAATCAATTCGGAACCGAATTGGAAGCCAGTGCCGTGAGGCCAGAATTGGGGTGATATGGTCACGCTTTTTATGGCCAGTGAGAAGACGTGCAGCTGCGTTTTGGACTAGCTGCAGGCGTCTAATTGAGGCCTGATCCATACCCACATACACAGCATTGCAGTAATCCAGTCTTGAGTTAACAAAGGCGTTAATAACCCTTTCTTGATCTTTAAAAGATAAAAACGACTTGGTCTTGGCTAATAGTCGTATTTTAAAAAAGCAGGTCTTGGCTACAGTGCTGACCTGCTTATCAAATTTAAAAGCGCTATTGAAGGTCACTCCAAGATTCATGACAGAGGGGAGGATGTTTTTATTGAGGGAGCCCAGAATTTCAACCGGGGAGGCTGGAGGTCGAGGTCCAAAAAAGATTACCTCGGTCTTGCTCTCGTTGAGGTTGAGGACATTTTGGCTCAGCCAGGATTTGATCTCTGTCAAGCAGTCCATCAACGGCTGTAATGAGTTGACATTTGAATTGAGAGGCAGATAGATCTGTACATCATCAGCGTAACAATGGAAGGGGATGTTGTGTTTTGTGAGAATTGAACCTAGGGGCAGTATGTACAGTAGAAAAAGGATGGTGCCCAGGATCGAGCCTTGGGGAACCCCACAGGTAAGAGGGGCTTTGGCAGAGGAGAAGGTACCTAGCTGCACTGAGAAGCTGCGGTCTGTCAGGTAGGACCTGAACCATGCAAGGGAAGAGCCTGTGATGCCTGCGGACTGTTCAAGCCGTGACAAGAGGATGCTATGGTCCACAGTGTCAAAGGCAGCTGTCAGGTCTAACAGCACCAGGACAGCTGGGCTGCCTGAGTCGGCGGCTAGGAGCAGATCATTAAAAACTCTTAAAAGGCTGTTTCAGTGCTGTGCATGGGTTTGAAGCCAGACTGAAACTTTTCATGGATGCCATGCGTGGTTAAGAACGACTGCAGCTGGGCGTAGACTACTCGCTCCAGGACTTTAGATAAAAAAGGTAGCTGGGAGATGGGCCTAAAATTTGCCAGAATGGAGGGGTCGAGATTTTTCTTTTTAAGTAGTGGCTGGACCACGGCATGTTTGAAGGCAGCTGGGACACATCCTGAGCTAAGAGAGGTGTTTATAAGTAATACAATACTTGCTCCAACTGATTCGAAAACATCTCTGAGAAGGCGAGAGGGAATGCAATCAGTCGAGTAATTGATTTTGGATTGTCTGAAAACATTTTTGACAACTGTTTTGATAGTCGTATTGTTAGAGGTAATTTGTATGCAATAATGCTGTTTTCACCCTCTCAAAAACAGGGATTACCTCCTCTCTGATTTCTTTTATATCAAACTAAATATATATGTTTTTTGGACTGCCAAAAATACATTTAAATGCATAACCTTGGGCTTTTAAAAAGACTAGGATGGATCATTTTCTGACATTTTAAAGACCAACAGAACAATCTAAAAATCATCTTCAGATTAACCGATAATGCAAAAATATTTTTAGTTGGATTTTTGTAGCCATGTTTCCCACCTTTCATTAAAGGCTGATGTTAATGTGGCAGAATGATTAGCATTGTAGTCTTTCTGTTCCATTTCCCTCCTGGTATTTGCCTTCAGTAAAAGCTATATCCTCTTCAGCTCTGAGCAGTGTTTCTCTAAACTGACTGTCCTACAGGCCCGGTGTGCCTCTGTCACATGACTTCCCCACCGGGCTCAGATACCAGCACGATGAATGGGGAAATGTACTTCAGTACTAACATGGCTTCTTTTGTGGCATGTTGAGTATTTAAATCCCTTGTCAGATTTTAGCGTTGACTTAAGTCCTGTGGGAGCTATTTGGCTTCTGTCACCGTGCTGTTTGTGAATCTGACCCCCGGCCCCCGTCCTGCTGCTGTGGGGGTTATTAGTGGCTCATTGACTAAATCGTCCCATACTCAAATCTAGTGCAGTGGGTTTCAACTAACAATACATTGAACACTTGATACATTTCCAGATTATTTTTGGATAGTTGTTTTGCAATTTTACCATGGCAGTACTTTGCCTGCATTTGTATTTCCTCTAAATATGTTTATTGTATGCCCTAAACACCAAGGATAATTATTTGTAAGGGAACACCCTTTTTGTCTCAAACCGGTCTATACAATATCCAGAAAACAGGAAATATTCTTGTTTTGTTCTTGTTCACACTCCGAAAACACTGACATACGATGCAACTAATTCTCAGATATGACTTGCTCAAACCTGCGTTTTAGCTTTTGTTTAATGATTTCTTTATTAAGAATGATCCCAATCGCTGCGGATTATTTGTTATTGATTAATTGTCTTGTTTTTGCAGCTGTACAACACTATTATTAGTATTCTATATATTACATTACATGTCACTTGTTAGACGCTTTTATCCAAAGCGACTTCCATACTCAATACTGTGGGCGATCCCCACAGGAGCACTTTGGGGTGAAGTGTCTCAGGGGCACAACAACATGCTGACTGCAGTGGGGTTTGAACCTGACCCCCTGATCCCAACACCAACGCTCAACCCACTGCACCACACACCTCCCATATATCTGTCTATTCAGCTCAGTTTAGTCTCTGAACGCCCTCGTATTCCTAAACCATCTTATTTTTCCACCTCAAAGTTACGTTTATTGTCTGCTACTATTATGTCATTTATAATCTTAGAGGACAAAGTCTGAAAGTTAATTACCTCCCAGTTTCTTATGAGGGAGCCCTTTGTTGTCATTGCAGTCGGTTTGATTATTCTTCACTCTGTTGCACATTTAATCTGACTTTCAGAAAGAGCTAAACAAATACAGTCATAATTGAGGCTCCATTGAAATGGTGTTAAAGAGCCGGGCTGTTTGTTCTGTCGAGGCGGAGAGAGGATCATATTGTCTGCATCAGTCAAACCTCTGTCTGTAATAGCCTTATTGAGCTGAGTTATGCAACATGACATATGGTGCTTTGAATACACAACAAGCATAATGAAGTGATTTGAATAGAAATAACATGAAAGCATCCAAGCTAACAATCACTCATGATGTGCAGCGTGTGCTCTATCGTTCTATATAATGTATTACACAATCTTGCAACTAAGCACGAGATTATAGCATTTTTTTGGACTTCGTTCACAAAAACGGAGAGAAAATTAAATGAGTTGCTGCATGGTTCACTCTGTCAGTCAGCATTTTGGCACAGAATGGCAATACATGTAGTTGATTCACTATTCATTTATTTGTCTTATAGAAATGAATAGTGGATGGGTGTTATTTTCCATGAGCATTAGACAAATGTTGTCGGAAATGTTTTAAAATAGTGGTTGACGTGAATCTATTTCCACAGTACACAAATAGCTCATTAAAGTTGCAGCTCCAGCTATAAGGCGACTAAGCATTTATTTGTTAGACAAATAGCCAATTATTTGGATAGTCAATTAATTGTTAAATGAATGGCAAAAAATGATGTGTTTGATCCCTCAAATATGGATGTTTTCTGCTTTCCTGCTCTTTTTTGTATCCAATTGAATATTTGTGTTTTGTACTGACAACCAGATTGATCGATATTAAAATAATTTCTTGCCCTACTTTTATATTGGCTCTCTCACTGCTTTTTCAAGACGTCAACTACTCATGGGTTGGACTGCATTGAACTTCTAACCCTAATGTGGTGGTCAGAAACAATGCAGGGTTACAGCATGTCTCATGAACTCTCACTGGAACAGCTGTCTCCAGGTTGAATCATATGATGAGCAAGTGTGTTTAACGAGGAATGTTGTAAACGTTTTCTCCCTGACTTGGCTACATTTTCTTCAGTATCAAACTGTTGTCATATTGATGTGAGTGCCGGTGTGGCCTCGGTCTGTTCGGTTTGTTTAAGCCTTTGTTGCACACGTCCGTCCCTTTCCTCTTGATTTTTGCTGAATGAGAGACACTGGAAGGAAGTGAGTGCGTTCTTATCTTGCTGCTGCAGAAAGGCAGTGTGAGGGAGCATAATGTGCAGAGCAGAGGGCTACAGCTGTGTGTAGGATGAATCACTCGCAGAGAGCAGGTCTAAAAACAACAATCAGTGTGTGTCAAGGGATCTCTGCGTTCACAATTGTTGTTAGTTACAGCCGGCTAAACCAAATAGCTACATTTGCAATTCAAATGTCATGAGGGGTAGAAGGTGAAAGGCTGAAACGCAGTATTTGAACAGAAAGACCAACAATGTGTTGCTTTAAATCATGGATTCATCTGCTATATGTTCTTCTCTGTTAATAATTACGTTTATAAAATGTCTGAATACAGTAAAATGGGTATAAAGAGAAACACGGCTATTGTTCCACAGCCGTATGTTTGTGTAAAAACTCTAAAACAAATAAGTTAATTATTAAATGACAAAGACAAGCAGAAAATGCTAACAGTTTTGCCTAAATAATGATAGAAATAAATTACGATAAATCTACTGCAAACAGACAACTAAAGTTATTACTTATTTTGACAGCTAGCGCCAAGTTCCTTTCATAAAATATTGTATTGCGCTTCGTATAAACTCGAACATGAACGAATATTACTTCATGTGGAAGTCTAAAATAATATATGTTAGAGTCATGCAAGTACAGCATTAATAATGTGTTATCTATTCAGATAACTAGATAAGAGATTGAGGCAGAGTGATACGAGCGAGCAGGGAAGTCCACAGCTGTGCTGGCGAACATTTTCCAAGCCTTGACTTTGATCCAGGCTGACTTTCTCAAGGAAAGTCAAGTGTCCAGACGTCAGACTCTCTGTCACCCATTACCAAACACAAACCACATGTGTCAAAAGTGAAGTTTGACAGCACCAGTCTGCTCAGTGAAAACACATTTGTCTGTAAAATGCAGAAGCTTATGAAAGAGAAGGAACAAAGTGAGCTTCCAATGAATTGTTTCACTCCTATTTCCTCCACCTATCGCCGTCATAGCACGGCCCTGTAATGTCTGTTTACTCTGTTCCTCAGCTGTGGTTTCTTTGAGTCAGTGAAAAACAGGTTGAGTTCCTGGAGCCCGGCCCTAGTCCCTCACCGTGTAAATATTCACCAGCAGTGCTCAGCGATCTGCGGGTAACCTGCGGCACCTCCCTGTGTTTACTGATTGTACCGTGTGACGTATTTATGGCTCCAGGAGAGGGAAACTTTCTGAGTATTGGGTGCCTGCTGATTAGGGTCGGACGGATATTTCTGGCTCATATATCACGCTGACCTACTCGACAGGAAGCAATTGAATTAGTGAATTATTATTAGATCAAGGTCTAAATGCTGTTCAGGGTCTTTTACTCTGACAAAAAACGTCTATGGAGATACCTCTGTAATATTTGGAGGTTAAATTAGATTTACAAAATGGCAGTATTTTCACAAAATGTCATTCACAGCATCCCAAATATTGGTATTGGCATAAACCTCATGCTTTATCTCAAATTGGAAACTTTCATTAGTCGACTTCTCCTTTACACTATGTACTTTATTGCATAGTGCGTGAATTTGGAAAGGGTAGTGCTGTCTCAAACGAAAGACGTCTGTTATCACTTGCATAAAATGATGATCCAGCAATCGGATTACCTTTTTATCAGTGCCAAATCAATACAGACTGCTAAATTAACCCAAAACACATCCCCAAGATGGCCACTGTTGAGGCAAAAAGTGTCCAGCGCTTGCATTAAATGGTTTGTCAGAGTCTTAGTTTACTTGTTCTTTGAATTAGTCTTGCTCTATGATTTGAACCGAGACATGGATTTGGACAATCAATACACCCCAACACAACTTTAATTTGTACCTATAAGGGAAAATAGGGCTTTCACAAAGCATTAAAATACACAGAAGACATCAGGATCGCATGCTATCTGGTGTACGCAGAGGGTTTGAATGGCAGAGATGGGTTTGAATGGCAGAGATGGGTTTGAATGGCAGAGATGGTTTGGAGGCGTGTTTTGGCCTCAGGTGATTTTGTATGTATCCATAATTGCTAACAACATAGGGCGTGTTTATCTGGGCACTGAAAGTTTATCTGGGCACTGAAAGTGACAACTTCAGTCCAGCTGATGGAGTGTTATCGGTTTCTCTCTTTAGGCCATGCAATTTGTGTATAGAGCTCATTTAAACCAACCATATGATTAAGTGCTGTCCATATTACCTCAAAAAGGGCATAAAACACAAAGTCATGTACAGTGAGTGAAATCAAATGTTTGTTGTTGAACACAATGAACATCTGAATAAACCTTTAATCCCAAAGTGTTGATGAGATGCTTTATACTTTGAGCTGTAGGACAACATGTAATACCCTCCACACGTTCTCTGGACAGCTGGAAACGGCTACTTCTCTGATGCAACCTTTGCTTCATTCTGTTAGACGTGTGATCAAGATGACGACGAGGTGGAGATCTCTATGGACAATGCAGCCTTCATGGATGAGTTCTTCTGTCAGGTCAGTGTTACTATCGGTGTGTGTCGGGATGCGCTACTATTATTGTTCGCCTTCTTGACATTTATGGTTTTTGTGTTTGTTTCAGATTGAAGACATCAGGAGTAGTATCGACAAAATTGACGAGAACGTGGCTGAAGTCAAAAAGCTTTACTCTGTCATCCTGTCTGCTCCCACATCAGATCAGAGTAAGATAACCCTTTCTGACCCTTAACCCTTACTGTTTCTTCATTGTAAGATGCATTTACATTGACACATGCAAAAATGGCTGACCATGACGAACTGATGTTTCTTTCAAGTTCAAGCACACAACTAAACTGTCAGCAGCGGAGCTTTTTTTTGAATAAACAGTAACAGAAAAGCTGTCTTTAACCGTAACCAGCTGCCTAATAACATATTTTGACAACAAATTACATGCATAGTAGGCAGGGTTGGGAGGGTTACTTTGTAAACGTAATCAGTTACTGATTACTGAATACATGGCTCTGAAAGTAATCCGAATACAGTTACAGTTACGTGTCTTAAAAAAGTAACGTAATCAGATTACTTTTAGATTACTTTTGGATTACTTTCTTTTTCCATCACAGATGGGTATGTTTTGGTGAACAGGAGACACAAAAAGCAAAAGGAAACTGAACGTGTTTTAATGGCGTATCAAGAGCACAACTGAAACATAACATCTGAAACGATGTAACAACATAATAAACTTGTTGGGGATGCAGCTTGGGATGTGAGGAGTGAGGGACACGGCTTAGAACGGGCGTGGCGCCTTCTGTCCTGCCAGTGTTGGCAGGACATGAATTAAAATGTCGAACTCGGACTTCATTTTAAGGACATTTCGGCCAGGGGTGTAGAGCTATTTTTGTTTAAGCACCGGATTGACAAAACAGGAGAGTGTGTGCACCAGTCTGCCTTGATCTATGAATTAATGTCCGTGACTCTCACAGTATCTGCTGCCCGCAGCTGTTTTATAGAAGGAACACCTCCTTCACTTCATGAAATCTCTGCAGCGCCAGGAGGCAGCGGGAGGGTTAACTCAGCCTCTGAGAAGACGAGCGCGCAGTGCCTTTCACGCACCGCCTTCACGCACCGCCTTCACGCACCGCCTTCACTGTGTTTACCTTCAGAATCATTAGAAAGGCTGAAGAGCGGTGTGGCTGATGTGTTTTAACCACACACACCTCTACACACACACAGACGCGTGATTTAAACGCAGACTTTTGTTCCTCCATGTTTCGTTGTTATCGTTTCATTGAGCGGACCCGCCCCTTTTTTTTCAAACGCTTCCTTTTTTGGATCATCGCTGTGATGATTCGGCTGTACCTTTAGTAATGAATATTAAATGTTGTGAGGAAATCTTTCCTCCAATAAGTAATCCAAAATGTATTCACTTCAGGTTTACGAAAGTAACTGTAATCAGATTACTCGTTTTTCAAATGTAACGCCAGCTGAATACAGTTACTTGATTTTTGTATTCTGATTACGTAACGCTGTTACAAGTATTCCGTTACAACCCAACCCTGATAGTAGGCATGAGTGCATTTACAAATTGCACTTTCATTGTTGTGAGATATCAGATAACTGCTTTTTCATGAAGTCGAGTCAAATGTATTTGCCCTGAGTTCACAAGTAGAAACCTTCACCTCTAGTGGTTCCTTTTCTCTACGCTCTAGCTGTTTATTGTAGCTGTCCCTCCCTTTTTAGAAACGCAGGATGACTTGGAGGCAATCACCAATGACATAAAGAAGATGGCCAACAATGCAAGAAACAAACTTAAGAGTGAGTCAGCCCACCACACACACATCCATTATCAGTGTGTAATAACATGGGGATGTTTTTTGGATTTAATGAGAATTTCTGCTGATGTGAAGTTGATTTGAAAGCTGAATCATAAATGAGTTGTTTGGATTGCTTCTCAGCCATCGAGAGGAATCTGGAGTCAGAGGAGCAGGAGAGGGTGTCGGCTGACATTCGGATACGTAAATCACAGGTAGATTATATCCATCTGAAGTTTCCTCCACAGGCATGTCTACTCTACATTCAGATAATGCACTGAATCAATACTCAATGAATATATAATGTAGTTTTTTACAAAAAAACTGCACATTTTTAAGATAAAGAAAAGAGTAAGAGAAAACAATAATGAACCAACATGCATGTAATATTACGAAAATCGGAAAATAGAGCTTTTAAAACCGTGGCAACAGCTATCGACCAAGGCTACTTTTATGCTAGTTTTCTTTGGTTTGTCGTCCCCCAGCATGCAGTGCTGTCCAGGAAGTTTGTGGAGGTAATGACAAAGTATAATGAAGCCCAGGTGGACTTCAGGGAGAAGAGTAAAGGACGTATTCAGAGACAACTAGAGATCAGTGAGTGCCGGCTCTAAAGTCATGTGACCAGAGATCTGATTCGTCAGTAACATTTACCTTTCCCCTCCAGCTGGAAAAGCAACAACCGATGACGAACTGGAGGAGATGTTGGAGAGCGGCAATGCTGCTGTGTTTACTGCAGGGGTAAGTATGTGTGTGTGTGCATATGCATCTCCATTTTGTTATACAGGATCATAACGTCCACTTGGCCTCGACATGATCATAATGCGGTTGAAGCTAGCAGTCAGGAGTTCAGTCAAACTTGAAGCTTCAGATCACCTAGTTAAAGATTAGCTGTTCATGTGATTTGATGATTGATGGCCCGCGCAGGTTGGGAAGATATTTTTCTTCCACAAGGATAAACAACTTGTATTTCCCACATACCTTTCAAACCTCACAAAGCTGATCACATGCTGTAGTTTTTATAATGACGGTACAACATCTTTATGTCGTAACCTAAGAGATTGTCTTTTTGTCCTACTGCAGTCAAGTGAGCAATAATGCTAACCATCTCAAAGTTGAGGTTTATAACATCATAAAGTGTGGCATTGGGTACAATAATAATATATGGTGAGGTGAAATGTATGAGAAACACTCATTTGTTATTGTTAATGACATTATAGAAACAAATGATAAAAAAACATAACCTGACCTGAATTCGAACTGAACGGCAACTTTGTATAAAAAGAAAGGAATTAATCAGTTCCAATTAACATATTCCTAAATAATGAAATCCATACATTTAAAACATTTCATTAGTTTAGTTTCTCATTATTCACCAATGTAGCACCTTTATTGTTAGCTCTCTGAATGTCCAGTGTCTTACTTCACTTACTCACTTTACATTGTACCTGCTGAGCCACAGCCAGCCCCTTTAGTCTAAATCTTCTTGAGCTAACACAGGTTGCCAGGTTTGAAAGAAATGAATTGTCGTTTCCATTTAAAGGAAGTAGTGTCACCTCTTTTAAATATTTCTCTGAATCACCATGAGTCACTCATTTGAACTCTTCCTGTTTTAACGAGCTGCCTTTACAGCAAACCTCTATCAGCCAGAATGTTCAGAAAAGAACACAAATACAGTTCTTACTTTAGGCAGATTATTGTGCCGTTTGTTTGCTATTAACAATAAACCTCTCCTCTCACAGATTGTGGATGCCGGGGTCTCTAAACAAGCTCTGAGTGAGATTGAAGCCAGACACAAAGACATTGTCCGTCTGGAAAGTAGCATCAAGGAGCTGCACGATATGTTTGTAGACATCGCCATGCTGGTGGAGAGCCAGGTACACTCCTCAAAATCCACCTGCCCATCATTTCATCCACCCGCCAAGTACTTTAGGAACTTCTCCTCCATTTCATTCTTTGTTCACTCAATCTGAATCTTTCCCCTTATCTTTATGTTCAGTCCTGACTGTATTCAACTCTATCTTCCTGGCTCTTCTGTGGTCTTACTATCAATCTCCATCGGTTTCCTCTTTTCCAGCTCCATGCCTCTCTTACTCCTCTCTTTATTCTCTTCTGCCACCTCATCTCATCACCAAACATTGATGGAATCTACCTGAATGCATTTAGTAAGATGTTGTACACGTCATCAGAGCACACTATAATGAAAACAAACACATATTGTCGATTGGTCAGTCACTGTATGCATATTGATTAATAAGTCTAACCACATATCTCTTACTGCTTGAACCATGCTTTCTGAGGGAAAAGCTTGTTTGAGGTAAGGGCTTCCCTCCCGCTGTTTGTTTTGTGTATTTTGTTAGATACGTTGAACTCAAAAATGTGTTTTATATTGGATCTTGTTTGTGCACTTCACTAAAATATGAGATTCAAGCGTACCCGGGGCAAGCTAGATGAAATGCACCACACATTTGGTAATGCTAAACACTGTCTATGCAAACTCTTGACACAAATAGACAGGGAATCCGTCATCCTCACATCACCGGCCAAATTGCCAGTACAGAGCAAGAGTTGTCATTAGCATAGTTTGTTTTGACAGCATACATGGTAGGGTGTTTGGTGTTTTTTGGAAGTGAACTGAAACCCGCAACTTCATCTATATCTACCCACTTGAAGATCTCCCACTTGGTGTGTGAATCACACGTGCTGCCGCTTTATCAGCTACTGCCAGTAACAGCTTAACAAACAACATCAACAAATAAAAGATGCCGACTACTCTTACCATGCTGATATGTCTGCTAGTCGCTGAATATGGAGAACAACAGACTCCGCATCTGAGTAAAACATGTATGGCTGAATCTCTCCCAATGAGGGAACAATTATTAAATGTGCATCCAGACCCTTTTTATGTGGGAAGAACCTATTATGCAAAATATGAATTGATAGCAGCGTACTTCAATTGAACTGTAAAACTTGGCTGGAAGCTGAATTTAACACATTTTATTTGAAGGTTATTGTTTGTTTTTAAAATAAATTCAGCATTAACTGAATCTTTTTCCTCGATTTAAAACAAAAATCCTTATGGAGTCATAATTAACAGTATATGTTTTTAACAGTATAATCAGTCTTGTAAGGTGTGATACCAGATGTATTACTGTATGTATAACCAATGTACTGTGCAGTTGTTCTGCCTGTGAAGTGTTGCTCTGTAACTTATTGATTGTTTTGTGTTTTTCAGGGTGACAGTATTGACAACATAGAGAAGAATGTATCCAAGTCAGAGGACCATATAACAGAGGCTAGGGAACAGACCAAGAAGGCTATAAGGCATCAGGGCAAAGCACGCAAGGTAATGTCATTTAACCCACCGCTGCACCAGTCTGCTGCCGGTGACCTCTTCCCTGTTTCTTCTGCCTAGACACATTTTGAAACATTGAAACCACAAAGCACAGTACGTACACATCACACTGCCTCGTCCTGCAGACACATCGCCGCTCACACGCAACTGTTGCAATCTGTGTGCTTCGCCTTTTGTTTCTCTCTCTCTCGTTGTTTAATTCATCTTCTTTTGTTGCTTTTCGTCACCTCTGACACCGTGCCCCATGTTAGGGTGGGATGATTGAAAGGATTGAGAGCAACATGGACCAGTCAGTGGGCTTTGTGGAGCGAGCCGTAGCGGACACAAAGAAAGCTGCAAAGTTTCAGCAAGAGGCTCGCCGTGTGAGTGACCGCAGTCAGGAGGAGCGGTCAGGTTCCCCAAAAGCAACGGAAATAGTTTTAGTTTACCGATTTACAATATGACATCATGAGATAAATGCTATTGACATTTAAATACAAGCTTAGGGATGTATTTGTTGCTCTATAATGCTGTACAGAGAAAAGAGAGTAATGTATTGCTACAGGCCAAAGACTGAGTCAGATTCAAGTTCCATGCCCTTGTATCAAATCATGATTTAGTCATGTAATCCGTGTTGTTCATATGACCTTGCACCAATGTAAACTATGCAGTGTTGAAGCATCTGATAATTCCCCAAACCTATAGACCTTAATTCAAACCCGTCGTCCTGGATCACATTTGATTATGTAATCGGTACCTAAAAGAACAACAGGACTTCTAACCCAGGGTTTTTTTGTTATTTAAATGCCCAATCGTTTTTTTTGCTTTTGGGAAGCCTGCCTGACAACATGAAGACCATCCCCCACCTTCAAGACCCTGATCTTCACCTGTGATCATTTGCCCCTCACCATCCTACCGGCTCTGTTCTGAGCCTCCACCCTGTCGCCTGTGGACCCCTTATGCTTTTAAAACCAGTGACCAGCCCAACACCAGACCACCCCTCCCACCTGCATATACAAACACACACTCACACACACACACACACACATACTCAACCGCACAGCTTCGACACTCTTCTCTGTCTGTTCTCTTTCTACAGCTTTAACCTTAACTTTGTCTTTGTTTACAGTTGCTGCATTACTCTTTCGTTTTGTGTGTGTTTGAAGATGTTCCTCTTCTTCCTCAGGCTTTTAACGTATATGTGTGAAAATAACTTTTGCCAAGTTAGCAGAAAAGTAAACTCTGTTGCACCAAGACAGAACTGGTTTGTCAGACTTTAGCTAGATTGAAACTCTGAGAGGTTACCTAACACTACAGCGTGCATTTGTGATATTTAATATGGCCATTGTTAACATATATTGTACTGTACATATTCCCCAATTCAACTCAGTGGTGGAAAGGAAATAAGTGCATTAACTCAAGCATTGTACAAAGTTGTTTGCTTTACCTAAGTATCTCCATTTTATGCAACCTTATACTTCTGCTCTCATAAAAGTACAACATAGAATCAACTTGTAAATGATGATGATCTAGCAGTATATTAAGTAATAACATTTACTTCCTGTTTTACACATTCTGTGGTATTACTACTTCCTCTTAAATTATTTGGAAGTACTTCTTCCATATATTATATACGTTGCAGTAGTGCATTTTGTAACAAAGTAAGGATACACTTATTGTGGTTTCCCACTGAGCCCTGACGGTACTGTCTGTTACTTGGTTGTTCCCAACAGAAAATGGTGATTATAGTGGTGGTTGTGGTGGTCTTGCTGGCCCTACTAGCTCTCATAATCGGGTTATCAGTTGGATTGAAGCCAAGCTGATGAGCTGTTTGAGTAAGAGGAGAGCTGAGGGTGAGTAACTCTGGAGCAAATAAGCTCTGTTGGGTGTAGCGCGCTTTGGAAAAGGGTTTGCATGCTCTTTTCCTCTGGCTCCGAGTGTTTTCTTTGTATCCACAGGGCTTACTTGAGGTGTGTTTGTGTGTTTTTGAAGTTCCTGGGTGTGTATCTTTCTCATTTCTGCAGCACTTGCCTCTGGTTACCGCTGAACAAACAAAGCAGAGCTAGTAATGAGTTTCAGTTGAAGCTGGTGTTGGTTTGCGGGCTTCTTTCAATGCTCATGTTCCCCGCCATTAACATCAGTCTCTCTTTTATTGTCTCCCTCTCTGTAGAAGATGATCATAATTGGTGTTGTCTGTGCTGTGGTCCTTGTCATCCTCCTCATCATCATCCTCACACAGACGGTGTAAAAGGACTGCTGCCATCATCTGTTCATTCGTCCTCCATCAACTGGCCCAACAAAGAGAAAGCTAATGCTGATCACTCTATAATGGATAAGATAATATTTATAAAAACAGAAGGACAAGTGTTATATTTGACCTCTGGAAAAAAGAAGATCTATGAGACTTGTTATAATTACGCAGACTTTTTAGCCAATCAGAACTGCCCTTCCTGTCAGTGAGGGTCTGTTTGACCCCACTCTGCGTTGGCAGTTTAAGGATGCTCTGCTGCAAATGAGGAAATAAGACTGACGCTGACATGAGGTGCAATAGCTGTTGTACCTCTATGGAGGAGAGAAAGGAGAATTGAAAATTAACTGATCACTTTAGCGTCACTAAACATTTCATTGTCCAACATTTGATCAAAAGAATCAGCCCGGACGTGTTCATCTGAAATTGATTTTAAACGTCCAGTAGGTTGGACCCATGTGAAGCCCTGTAGAAGCACATCACCTCCCTTATCATTATTTCTTGCCTTTTTATGAGCCTTGACACATTTTGTGATTTAAAAGCTAGCTACTGTATGTTCACTGTATTGGGTTTGGGGGGAGTTCCAGCACTTTCACATTTCAAAATATGTTTATTTTTCTGTAATGAAGCTCGGATGATCATGTGTAATATTATTATTATTTGTGTTGTTTATATGTAGCCCTTTCTTTGGCTAGTTTCTTTAACTTGAAGAGGATCGGTGTGCTCACTTGTGATTCTTCAGTTTGTAGAGCCCAGTGGTTCTGGTGTTTTTAAATGAAGGATGATGCTTGTGCAAACAAATGTAATGCTTAGGTGAAGCTAAGATGAGCAAATAAAAGTCAGGTTAGGTAGATAAACACGCATCCAGTGCTTTGAGACTTATCCAAACCCTGCTACGTCTTGGACAAATGCCTGAATATTCGTTTATTTTTGTTAACCTGCTACCATGTTGACCATCTTGACCTCCTACATAGAGAGCTGATTCTCTCCTGTTGAAGAGCTGTAAAAACGTTTATGTTTTAATGCCAATGAGACTTATAGTGACCCTAGATATTTCCATTTCAGTGCAGAATAGTCTTATAAGTAAGTCATAGTAATATATTTGTTATACTATTTAATGGTCAGTGAGGCCTCCCTGACTGGTCGCACTTCACCAGTGGGATTAGCATTTCCTGGCATATTCTAGGTGTCCATATATTTCTACTGTAAAACCACACGTCAGTTGCCAACATTTCAAACTATTGCATTCCAATACAACAGCCCTGTGATCAATCCTATTCTCATGAACTTTTAAACAAGTCTGACTTCATTGATACAAAGAGACTAAACTACATTTCTGAGGAACTGAACCCAACCTTGAAAGAGACCATTAGGTTGAATCCACATATATCTGCAACAGTTCAAACCAAACCTATACATAACTAGAAGGGCATTTGGAGAACACAGACCTCTGCCAAGGCCAAATGTCCTACATCGCAATGTTAACAAAAAAAATAAAATTATTTGTATGTCTGATTTTATAATTTTATATTTATTTTTTTACCAATGTCCAAGCCTTTCATTACGTTTCCTGAACATCCAGCCAGCACTTTTTCCATTGTCTTACTGACAAACAGACAAACAAGCTTGGTGAAATGATGAAAATCAGTACTTATATATATCTAAACCAAATGAAGTTGAGATTTATTACAGGGCTGTCGAATGCATTACTTTTAGCTGAGTGTACCTTAACAACATATTTTATTTCTGGTTTGTCACAATCATTTCATTAGGTGTTTTTATCTCGGTAGAGTCTAACAGAGAGTTTATTGAACCACCGTGCGCATGTAATCACCCAGAGCTTTAATATGGCAGTTAAAGCAGGTGATTCAGGCTGTGCACACAGACTATCAGAGACAGTTTCCACTCACTAAAGAGGATGTTATCAACAGGTATTGACCACATGCAGGGGTAAATGTCCAACGCATTATGAGGGCTGGCATTCATGAGGGAAGCCTTTTTTTCTGTTGCCTCAATGGTTCCTTTTAATTCTGGTTGTGCAGGGAGGTAGCTCTTGAGAGTGAGAGGCCTCCCCAGCTTGGTCTTTTGACCGAGCAGTCTGCTCTTTTGGCTTCTGCCCTCGACTGTTAAATCCTACTGCTCCGACTGCTCGAGCCTTTTTATTCCCACACCACTTTACCCACCAGCATGAGCTGCAATAAGAGCAGGAGGAGGAGAAAACTAAAGCCGTTGTTCACTGTGTTAAATTAAAGTGCCACAGATTTTATTCAAAATTAAAGATTTTATGTTTTTTAATGGTTGACTTGTGTTTCCTTGCTCTATCATGCATGTCCCTTTGTGATTGATAGAAGGTTAATATTTAACAATGTTTAAACTTTTTGATGACTGCATGTTATAGAAGAGCAGTTTGTTTATGATGAGTTGTAGTCACTGTTGTCAGCAGATTGTTGATGCAGCATGTTAACCATTTGGATGCAAAGTACAGTTTTTAAAGGTGCACAACAAGTCTCCAACAGGAGGTAAGTTTTTCCCCCTTCCTCTCTCTACACACAAACACACACATACCCAAATATCTGTGCCCCTTTGTTCTCCTTTGGCTCAACCCTTTTTTCAAACCAGTTGTCCCATGAATGTGAACAATAGGTGTTATTTAAAACCTTATTCTTGGGGCTGCAGCTGTCTGATAATCGTGTATTTCTTATTAACTCTACAGAAAAAGATGATGATAACATTGTGCTGTACCATCATTGGAATCGTTGGGTTCTCCTATCTCTACAGCTTCTTCTCATAAAAGCTTGTACACAGGTAACAAACTTACATCAGCATTTACCCTATAAAGACACACTAAAAGTTGAAATTGAAGTGTTTTCTTTGTTCTTTGTGACGTGTTTCTAGGTAAGAGATTGTCAAGAAAAAGCAAGTTTCCTGAGGTGGTCCCCTATTTTTTTTTTACCCCGTCCATTATTTGAACCTCTCTAAAAAAAATCAAATAAAGTATTAGAAAAAAGATAAATTGAACCTACCAGCCCTGTGCACTTACCCTTTTTCTTAATCATTTGAATTTAAATAGTTTCCTCGCTGTGTGAAATGTTTGAACACGTGTGGTAAGTGTGTAGAATTTTCTCAAGTCTGCCTGTGTATAACCAGATGGCTGAACATGTGACTTATAATCATTTTGGACCATTATGGTTGACTTTAGTCTGCCGCCTCCTGGTGGTGCATAATATTTATATATTATCTGAAAGTTATTTCTAAGGATTCAGTCAAATTTGCAGGATTCAGTCCACATTGTTTTTTGTAGTGGCTTTATTTGGCACCAAAATGTAATGAATGCTTATGCATAATCATGCTCTGGTTTAAAAAAAAAAAAAAAAAAAATCCAATTCGGTAGTATCTGAATTATTTGTTGTCATCATTTGAATCGATTGTGTGATCTGCCTGTATGAGTCTGTGCTGCTGAAATGCTTGTACTGATTGTGTTTCTGTAACAGCGTCTGCCACTCGCTCACTGGCTGTGTGTAAACCATAGACTGGTGTAAACCCAGTAAAGCCTGTTATGTAATAAAATATTTCCTTGAGTTGTACCAAGTGTCGGTGTCTGCTTCACTTCTTCTGTTGGAGGTTTGCACTCAGGCTTTATGCATGGATTCCTCTCCCTCAACACCATTCAGAGCATATTTTTACTTTATGTGATAAGCTACAGGAAATGTATGGCGATGCAAGACATAACGTGCATGAACGGCTTCCCTGACCTAATTTCATCCCCCATCTCACTGTTCCTCCAAACCAGATGCAGGCTCGGTACACCGTGGGGGCGGGGTCTACTCCAGGGTGCGCTTGTTTTCCTGCTTCTCGTGTGGAGGATAACTAGGATTGGAAAACAGTGATACATTTAGATTAAATCGTCCACGGTGATCCACAGAAGGAACATAAGCATTACATCAGGACATGAACAGACAAGAAGGGTAGGTTATAATTAAAAACACCACAGTGCACATATGAATCCTAGTACATTAATTTTGTGAAATATGCATTTGTTTTTATTATGCATTTATGTACCCAGAAATAATATGTGGAAATACATAAGAACAAATACGAAGAAATAATATTATTTTCTAATGACAAGTTAACATAATTACAAATTGAACCTACGCAAAAATCTACAATTAGGCTATATTCGTCAATATAAATGTAAAGAAATAGCAGCCAGGTACAACATTAAGATAAGCCAACATCTAGAAATACACTGTAGAAAAGCAGATCAAGGGTAAAAAAAGCGAAGAAAAAACATTGACAGTGCTCAATTAAAATGAAACAAAATTAAACATGATAAAATCAAAAAAATCCACATTCACTATAAAACGTTTCATGTTAATGATGGAGGTTCAGTACAGTACAATAGCACCCATTATTTTAATACACACATGGCGTGAAGCATTTATCTAATTAAATAGGCCTAGGCGTAGCCTACATGATAAAATAAATTCCAGGGTACAAGCAAGAAATTGCTTAATTGCTTACAATGGCTATTTTTAACTATCCAATAACACAGAAAAGGAAGTTCTGATATTTCAAGTAGCCTACATTATATATACAATCTGAAGGCCTACTGAATGCAGTACCTTGAAGTGGAGTATATTCATAGTTATTATAGTTATCACCCCACTCTTGAACCACCAGATAGTGGAAGTTAAAACGAGTACACTTGTATATACATATTATAATCATGTTTAAATAGCACATGTTCTGTCCAATGAGAGTGTCCCTATGCTAATTTCTGTAGCAGTGAGGCAAATAGGGGGGTGGGCCTTGAGCTTTTTTTTTACTTAGTGTGTATGTGTATGTGTGTTTTCTGACCAGCTGAAAATGGCGGCTCGAAGCGTCGAATCGTTCTAACTTTATCGCACAATAATAAACACAACAGTATACTCGGCCGTTATCGAATAACATGGGGAGAGACTTTGCTGAAGGGCTGCGGACCCTTTAGCTGGGACACATTACTTTCACCACTAACGGGAGTTGGAACGCAGAGGTAACGATAAAGAAGCCACCAACTGCCGTATATAGGCTAACGTCAGCTAGCTAGCTATCGTTAGCCGAGGACTTAAGCAAGGGCTTGTCAACTGTTCTAGTTTATGTTAACGACAGTGGAATAACGTTATTATTTACATGGACACATTGGTGGAGAATATCCCAGTTTAAAGGTTGTTGCTATATTTGGCACTTGTCTTCATACTGAAATGCAAGTTTAACGTAAATATGTTTGTACCATTAGCTTAGCATCTCTCTCGGCTAACGGCTAACTAGCTTCTCAGAGAGAGAGAGAGGTGTGTGTTTCTGTCCGACAAAACGTAAAACACAGGAAAACTTTTGAACGCTGATTGACCATCGGTGTAATTTAATTCTGTTTCTCTTCTAGATATCATGGAGGACCCTCATACACGGTACAGCAAACGCCTGGTGAGTAACTTAACCAAACTGTTAGCTTACCGGAACACTTGTTCTGTGTTTACAATGTTGTGTTTGGTTTTCATCATCATGTGTGAAAGAATACCCTATTTAATATGGCTACATGAAGTAAGTCTAGTGGATGTAAACCATTGTATTTGATTGTGTGGACTAATTTATTTTGGCACATTGGGTAATGACAGTAGTGGTCCCTTTTTTGTTTTGTGTGCCACCCTAATAACAACAGTAATGAACCTGTCTAAAGAGTTCAACAGAAGGTCAAGTTCACTGTTTAACTGTGCTGTGATACCCTGTTTCACCTCCTTACTATCTTTTCCCATGGTTGTAAAGTCATTAAGTCAGTGCTTTAAAACTACCTACTGTGTACTCTGAGAAATATGATTGATAGTAGTGGTGTGTGTGTGTGGGGGGGGGGGGGGGGGGGGGTTAAAATGATGCATATCTAAATATAATCAAGCTAATTCTACCAGTGTGGATGTAGTTATGGAAATCATGTCTAGGCTTATTTGTTGAACACACAGAAGCCTAATCAAAGCCCACATAAAGTGTTCCTTAATTGCATTTTTTTGATTTCCTTTGACAGTTTTATTACTTTATATGGAAACATCAGCATTGGTGGCTTTAATCTTATAAAACAGTTTTCAGTTGCATCTTATTGTCTTTCCGCTCAGTTATGATAGTGAGGAGTATCTGAGTTTAGATAATACCACATTTGTGCTATGGGGGTGGGGAGATGTGAGAGCGGGGGTGTTGTCCTTTATCCATCTGTCTAGCCAAGCAGTGCTGCATAGGGTGAATGGCAGGCGGGCAGAAGAGGGGGGTCAGTGTGTGGAAGATTAACCCGTGCTATTGTGATGCTGTATTGTTTGGTTACCACATGAACTGATTTGGTATTCTGGCTGAATGATCTGTTTGGATGTATTATTTGTGATGTGTGAAAGCATTAGTTTATCACTCATTTGAAATCCCTGTTACCACTGAGATATTGAACAAGAACATTTTAAAAATGCATTACGGGTCATTCCATACCATTTCAGTTTTTTGTAATTAATTATTAAATGATGACGAGTCATATCATATATTAATTAAAAGCAGCTAACCCATGCAATGAATTTTAACACATTTCCACACAAAAAATGTCAAGGACATTTAATAATCCTTTTTAGGAAAATGTATAGAAATATCTTTAAAGAACCTGCAGCTCAAACCTACCTTTTTTAATGTAATTCCAAATCATCTTTTTAGAAAGTGGATACCAGAGAACATGCGCCTTTTAAAAAAATGAAGAATCCATTGCTCGGGTTAAGAATAATTTATTTGTATTATTTAGTTATGTAACTATATATTATATAATTACTGTAAGCTTCTATTAACCAAAATACATGTTCAACATTATTTTCTCAGTTAGGATGTTCAGTAAGAATAACCAAACCTAGTGAAAAATAAGCTGTTTATGAGGCTTAGATATCACAAAAGAACAGTCACTCATTAGTTTTTCATTGAATACTGGTCGATATTAGTTTGTTTTTCCTTCCCAAGAAAATCATTACGTCTTTAGTCTGTTACGTCAAATATGTGTGATCTACAGATCAGCATTGCTGTGTGTCTGATTGTCTTCTTTAACCAAGCTGGCCCTGAATGATCTTTTTTGCAATAAAGCATCCAACATGTCTCCCTGCCAGTTATTCCTGTCCTCTTATCTTGTTCTCTTTCTGTTGCTCACTATTGTTTCTCATGTCTAAACTAGAGGTTAACAGAATCTGTGTTTTGTCCTCAGCGTACAGGGACGCGACGCCGCTACCAAGACGATGGAATCTCAGACGATGAAATT